CAAGGAGAGTGACTTATAGCAGAAATTGGGACATTTCTCAGTTTTACTTTCTTCCTGCTTTGAATTTTATGCTCTAGTTTATTCAATTACAAATGTATGATTTGTTAATTTTGGTAACTTCTTAAAAATGAACTGATTTTTTTACCAGTTTGCATTTACCAGATTCAATAGATATAGCCATCCCATCATGCTGTAGGTTAAAGGTAGGGAGTATCTCAGAAGCAGAAATCCATATCCAGCACTAACATGGAGGAGAATGAGGATGACTTTCAAATTCTTTCCATTCAGAATATGAAGACATCAGTGCTGTTGGTTTTTTGCCAAATTCTTATACAAAATGCACTGAATTAAAATTTCAAGTCATCCTGTATTGGAAATGGGTATATATGTATTAGATAAAAGAGAGGACACCGAGTCTTGATACTTTATTTTAAATTCACAGTTTGTCTGACCTGGAGAGTCTTAGGGCTTTAGTAGACTTGCATTTTAAAATGAGCACTCCTTTTTTCTTAGTATCTTCTGCCTTCTGCAAAATTCTGGCAAATGTAGTTTAGGGTTGGCCTTCCAAAACTACATTTCTCAGAATTCTGCAGGAGACAGAAGATGCTAAGAAAGCGAGGTGCCTGCTCTAAAATACCAGTCTGAAAATGCCTTCTGGAGCCAGCACCTGGATTTATATTCCCCACTTTTTAAAAAGTGTCCAGTGGAAGAGTAAATCACTAATTGTTTGTACTGCAGTTTTGTCCAAATGTTTGCTTCATGTCAAGATACAATTGATTTTGTACAGTTTTTTGGGGGGAGGGGGGTACGGAATGCTCATTAAGTCCCTGTGTATTCAGCAATGCTAATTCAACTGATGCTTCCCATTTCAGATTGAACTACTGACTGTGTACCAGGGATCATTTTATACTACACAATTGCAGTGTTATGATTGCATTTTAACTGCATCATCTGATGGAATCCTTGAATTTGCAGTTAAGGGATGGGCCTTTAGAACTGCCAGCCAGAGAACTTGAGTGCCCTAAATGGATATGGGGCAGGATATCTGAAAGACCGCCTCTTCCCGTATGAACCTGCCTGACCTTTCAGATCCTTGGAGGAAGCCTTGATATTTCCCAATATGTTGTGAAGTTAGGTTGCTATAGATGTATAACATGGTTTTCCCAATTATAGCACTTTGATTATGGAATCCTCTGCCCAAGAAAGTTAGGCAAGCTGGTTCGATCTCATCAAGCTTCCACTGGGCAGCCAAATCAGCACTGTTCCACATGGCCTTTAAGGTTTTGAATTACTCTGTTTTAATTTTTTACATCGTATTTTAGGATTGTCTTTAGACATTTTTTTAAAAAAACTTAAAAGTACTTTTAAAAAGTTTAATCTTTGTACTATTTTTAATTTCATGTATTTGTTCATTGCCTCAGGATCCCTCATAGGCTGGGAGGTGATGTGAAATTATCTTAAATAAATATTAGAGAATAAATAGCATCTCACCAAACTGCAAATCTCAGAATTCCATAGGATATAGCTATGACAGTTAAAATAGAATCAGAGAGGTATAATTGTATAGTGTTAAAGGGCTCCAGGACTGATGCCCAAGAGCTGTTGCACTAAAATTCCACACAATTTTGTACAGACACCCACGCTCTGGTTCTACTTCTTGCACTTCCAGCTCACAGCTAGCTTGAGAAGCAAACAGACAGGTTCCTACTTGTTGAACACTGGGCTGTTTGACTGTAGCTCAGTGACCTGAGAAGGAAAAGCCGAATGCCAGATTTAAGCTTACTTTAGTTATTCTTTCATTAACGTATGCTTTTAATTCAGCAAAAAAAAAAAAAAAGCAATAACAGAAGCAGAAACAGCAACTTGGCAGAAATGTTGTACCTCCAGGGTATTTTCTGCAAACAAAAATTGGCTATTATGCTTCCTTTGCAAACTTAACATATTATTTAAATAAGGCTTCTTTTTTTCTTATGCACTTATCTGCATCAAATGTTTGGAAGAAGAGCAAACCAAAAACATCTATAAGTATAAATGTGTGTGTGCTGCTGTTTTTGATCGGTTTATAAGAAGCAATGATCAAACTATTTTTGACCTGCATTTTGGATTGACAGAACGCTTTTTATTTCTTTTGAGCTAGAGACACGTTTTCCCAGTGAAGCTTGAGAACTTTAGGTGCCATGCTATTAGCTTTGGGAAGGCACCTTCTGTTAAATGAGTTCTTAGGAGCGAGTTGGTTCAAGCCCAGCTTGGGTGGGGCGAGATATAGAAGATGTCTCCTGAAAAGATGTGGGAAAAAACCTAGCTTCTTTTGTGTGAAAAAGAAGCTTGTTATGAAACGCAGTTTATGATTTTTTTATTATAATTTCTGTCCTTCATGTTAGTCAGTTTTTTTTTTACTATTAAAGTCTGGTGTCTCCCTTTTTCCAGATTTTACATAGTTGTTGCTTAAGAGCTACCATTACCATTTATCATTTTATGCTAAAAATTCTGCTTTGCAAGTTAAATATTGTAAAATAATACCATAAATTCATCTTCCCTCTCGTGCTTTTTGGAGGCAGGAATAGCAGCAAAGCTCTTGCGACCTCATCAGATGAAGGCAAAAAAGTGTCTTCTCCCTGCTTATCTGCACTGCCAGCATGAAGTTCCCCGGAGCCCATCACATGATGCAGGCTACTTCTACTGGGGCTCCATGGGGCTCTACGCTGGCAGCGTTGTGGCAGTAAAACCCAGAGGAGTTGTGTGTACACTGTCTCCTCATTCAAAAAAAGGCAGAGGAGCCAAAAAGGAAGTGGGGGACAGTAGGGAAACATTGTGGGAAGACAGAGGACAGACTTTGATGGCAGGCAACATAGCCAGACAGGTTCCCTATGCTGCTCCACAATTTTACCCACTCTTGCCCACTTTACAAAGGGCCATCTGATGATGTCCTTGATGTGATATGTATGTAACCATATCTTCTGAAGTTTAATAGCAAAGATGTATTGCCTACAAAGTGTCTCCATGAGTTTTAAAGATAGAAGTATGAAAGAAAATGCTTCAGAATTCAAACTATACCCTGATTTTGCATCTGTCTGAGCAGTTTGCCTGATTCTGAAACAGAACAATCTGCAACTGTTTTCCCTGCCACCCCGTTTCTCAGGCTCATGTGGCCCTGGGACATAGGATGGCAATTACTGTCCCCTCAAGTTCTCTTTGTTCACAATGATGAGTCCTACATGTGAGCTATTGCCTTCAGTGACATCGGCCAGGTGATTGGGGAATGGGTCAGTCTCCATAACGGCTTTGGGAGTGCCTGTCTGACCCAACCTGGGGCTCATCCAGTGTATGCCTTGCCAGATTGGTCCTTGTTTAGTGGGGCAGTGTTGATCCCCCATGTACATTTTCTGTAGAATCTTCAGTGGAACTCATTTGCTGCTGCATTTTGCACTAGTTGCAGCTTATGACTCCTTAAAGTCAGCATCACCACACAGAGGTCATGGTAGCCTAATTCAGTGCATGCATTACTGTGGTTAAATTATTCCTGTTCAGGAAAGGCCATAGCAGGTGTGGCAGTTGATGCCAGCCCCAGGCACTCTGAATGATAAGGTCCATCTGGCCCTCCAGTGAGAGGGGTGGATATAGAAGTAGTCTCAAAATACACACCTGCCTCCCTAGGAAGAATGCAGCTGCACCCAGGTCAAGTATGCGATTCAGTTCCCAGACCCAGGAAGCACAGATCCATCATCATCTTATTGGGATTCATCAGGCTTCAGACAACACATTTTAGCATCCACCCATTGGTCTAATACCTGCACCTCTGCAGTCAATTCTAACAGCTGAGGAAGTAGAGCTTAGTGACATCAACATATGGGATAAAATCAATATCATTTAAATCCCCAAGTCCTGATGACCTCACTGAATGGCTTCCTACAATATTAAACAGCACAGTGGACAAGAGGGAAACCTGTCACACTCCATCGTTTAAAGATATTATAACAATGATGATGACAACCACAACACTAATGGTAGGGTACAACATGGTTAAAACACATAGCTAAAGTAGAATGCTATTAAAATTCATATATTAAAATACATTGAAGAAAAATTGACATCAGTACAAATAAAATGTAAAGTTAAAATTCATAGTTTAAATTGACTGGGTAGGTCTGCCATAAGAGACAGGTTTTCAATTGTGTCTTGAATTCTGACAGCTCATTTGGCTGCTGGAGCTCTTCCGACAGGTTATTCCACAGTTCCTCTAGGAGACAGTTGCCAGTAGGTTTCTAGCTAGTTGGAGTAAGTGACATCCAAAAGACTTATGTGTATGGGGTGGATTGATCAAAGCTTTTCCTGAGACAAAGGAATGTCAAAAGAAATTCAGTTTATAATAATATGCCGTGTTGATAGTGATTGCAAGTAGATAAATCCTAAGAAATACTGTATGCTTTTGTTTAGAAGTGCTACTGTCATGTATCAGATTTAAAAGACTTGTCTCCAGCACTTCTGAAGGCATGGAAGTATGGGGTGGGAGGGAGTCAGGCATTGAGGTGCCAGTGATGCATGAAATCTCCTAGACCACAGTTCTGTAGTTAAGACTCAATCTCACTGACTGCAGTGAAACCTATTTCTGAATATATGTTATATTTTAATATAGTTTCTAGGCATGTGTGATTGATAAAAAATATTTCAAAAGTCATTACAAAATTAGGGGGCACTATACTATAAAGAGAGTAACAAAATTTCGTTATTTTTCCTTATAGTAATTGCATATAATTAATAGTTACATGATAAAGTTGTGGCCCCCTTGCTATTTGGGAAGCAATATGTCTCTGGTTGATACCGCTCCAGCATACATGACTTATTCACTATATCTACCAGAGAATATGGGCTGACCTTTATTTCTATTAGAGACAACACCCAATATTTCTTAGTATCTATTGCACTGTTAAGGACAGTGAACATATATCTAATCAAAAACATCTTCCCTCTTCTAATTTTTCTCTGTCCTTTCTCTCTGTCAGATGTACAATGGGACCCTCAAAAGGGAACCCGCGGAGAACAAGCGCTACAGTTCATACAGCCAAATGGATAGCTGGGCTGGGAGGAACTACAACAAGATCTGCAGTCCTACTAGTCCTGGCAGTGATTACTGCTTTGTACAGAATATGAAGAGTAGCCGGAGTGAGCCCGATCTCTACTATGACCCTCCACGGGGCACACTAAGGAGAAACCAGAGTGGAAGCCGTGTGAGTCACAAAGCCAGTTTGAATCGCCACAGCCTCTACAGCACTACATGCAATAACCAGGGAATTACAACTACTACAAGGACAAGCAAGAGAATCCCAGTCCGCACTTCCTCTTACACTTCTACTAATAAACAAGATGTGGTCTATGCTCAGCCTGTAGCTAGCAAACCAGATGTGATTTACGGACAGCCTCCTTCCAATTCAAAGTAAGTTTCCATGCCAATCCTCTGTTTATGCAACCATACGTATAGCTACCTGCTAAGTTAGGATATCACTTCATTCAGCTAATCAGATGGATTCTATTCCATGCCATGAAATCTTAGACAGGGGTGGGAACTGTGTAGGTCAGCATGCAGCACTTGGGAAGGGACTACATGAAACATTCAACACCAAGTGCAGTCCTTGGGGCATTTGACAATAGCCCTGTCACACCTTCTAAAATAGCAAACCCTAAAAGAAAGAAAAAAGTCCAGAAGTAGAGTGTATCACATGCAAAATGGTGACTGTTATGCATGGCAATGGACCTCTAGAATGCCAAGGAAGCCAAAAATCTGCCACTACAGTTTTCCAGGCCCACCACCTGACTTAGACTATAATGAACCTGTGCACTATTAATGTTCCACAGAACTGTGCTGCAATAAATCCCTCTGGGAAATAAAACTGGCCATCCTTCTGAAGACACATACTTCCAAACTGCTCCCTAAGAAAGACCCAGTTATCGTAGAAAACATTATTATATATCCAGCTTCTTTTAAAATAATTGCCTTAATGTCATTCCAAGCACAATTGTTGTCTGGGAAACACTCTTCTCTGCCAAACTTCTTGCAGGGGTGGTCCCCTTTATAGCACCCTTCCTGATAGGGTGGTTCATCTTGTAGAACAAGTTTAAGTTTGGGAGTTGTCCGTCTTCAAACACTGTGCGTGATTAGTGAGTCTTCCTTCCAGAAGAACTAGTTCTGTTTGGAAAGTTGTCTCATTTCTAGATCTATGATTATTTGCATATTTCTGCACAATGGTGGAGCTGCAATTTCATCAACTTGATTATTTTTAAAGTGTTATAATAAATAAAATTATTCATCTCAGAATTAGATTAGTTCACTAGTAATATAAGGCTCCTCTAGTTTTATACAGGCATTCATTTTAAGTGTTTCTTCACATGAAAAGTAAAGCAATGCTTGGAGATATATGCCTACCACAGGCATTGAACTCTGATAGAAGGCTTTAACCGATGATGATGATGATGATGATGATGATTATATAAATAATTGTTACCTGCCTTTCTTCAAAGCTCTAAATGGGGTACAACGCACTCAAAACACATATACCAGATAATATGTAAAGACCATTGGTACTCTAAAATCCAAGTGGGAGGAGGATCTCTTCCTATCAGTGTGGAGTGTGACACTGTTGATATATACTGTTGTTTCAACAGTGCTAATTAAAAACATTCACAACCAGCTGAATTAATATAAAATTGAAAAAGCATGTGGGAATTGGCACCGCACATTCAGGTTTTGTTGCAGTGGGGTTTCTTCTTCTTTTTCTCACCTAGTTCTGAGAATAACAAGTTCTGATCAGTTAACTAGTGCCTTTAAGGCACAAATAAGATACAAATAAGATAAACTCTGCTGATAACTTTACAAACTGCAATGTTTTCAGCATATCTGAGCAAATGCAATTATTGGATTGCATTCCAAGTCATCACCAGGAAATATCTCTTTTTTCGGGTAATTGCCTTGATTGTTGATCTTACTGTGGAGTCTAGTTATAGAATTAGCTTTGTATTATAGGGATTGATAGAAGGTGTGTCAATATTAGTGCCTTGTGTGGAATAGTTTGGTGAAATAACTTTACTTCAATACTCATTGCAACCTCCCTGTGGAATATGCACCAGGATGAAGCTCAAAATTGGAGGACAGAGAATCCATTCAGTGGCAATATCACATGCACTTCCTACAAATTAGGATAATGTGATTTCTGGTCATCCTGCAATTTTGTTTTTATCACTATAGAAACTTCAACAGATACATTTTCTAGAATCTTTTGCACAGTGTTTTGATGTGTGTTCACTATGATTCTGACTGTCCAGAAAATCTATTTGTTCTAAGGTGTGCATTCTATAATATGGATCTGTATGTAACTATGGGCCTGTTAAATTGGGCCCAAATTTGAAGAATTACCAGTTGAGAAAAGAATATGGTTTATCTGTGGATGTACCATCTTCCTGAATGTGATGCTATGTACTGTACTCAGTGCTCTAGCATTTTCTGTGATAGTTAGGCAAACTCAGCTAATTTAGGATGAATTCACATCTGCAAAATACCTCAATCCCAGTCATGCTGGAACACATGGTGTGCCTCTGTTAAGCTTTAATGCATTTTTTTATAAAACTATTTCATTATTTACTTTCTTGGAAAACATAGGGGAGGAGGGAATTTTACAATGTTTGTTCTGCAGTGTTTTGCAATGTTTGTTCTGTACCCTGAATTTGTATCAGGGTACAATCGAGGTGGTGATGGCTGGATGGCGGGATAGTTGGTAGGTGGTTACCTAGGTCTGATAAGCATGATGTTACCATTTTTTAAACATACAGTACATGTATCAGTGTGTTTAATTACGCCAAATAAGTGGTAGTGGAAGCTCTGGGTTTTTATCTAGGTTTTAATGTTCACACGGTTTTGTGTTTGCTGTTTCAAATATTTATGTTTCAATAGGTTGTTTTAACTTTATGTTGTATGTTTTTATTCTGTTATATCTGCCGTGGGTCTGTGCTCAGAGAAAGGCGGGATATAAATTTCTCAAATAAATAAATAAATATCAGTGGGAGGTGGGCAAGTTTTGTGGTGAGAAGAATTCCAAAGGGCATCCACATTTTTATTCAATATATGTATGTATGCAGATCTCCACATATTAGAATATGCTATTCAAATATGCCCTGAGAGCATTCAGCTATTTGAATGTGTGTTTACCCACATACATATTTACACTGAAGTTAAAAAAATACAAAATCAACACAATCAACCCTTCCCAATGTGAACTTTGGCCATGTCCCATTTCTGAAGGTCTGGTATGTATGCCACATTTTATTTAATATTGCTTTTATATATTAATTGTATTATTTATAGTTGTTTCTCCACATTTGTGAGGGTTAGGGGCATACACAAACTCCCCTCATAAGTCACTAAAACTTGGGTGTGCGGAGTCAAGCAGACTGGACAGGAAGAGGGATTATTTATTTATTTATTTATTTCCCACTTTTCTCCCATGGGTGGAATTCAAAGTGGTGAACAAATAGTTAAAAAAATGGAATGCCACTCAGATGCTCAAACTCAAATGAGTAAGAGGCTGGGAAAGGGATCAGACAGGGTGGAGAGGACACACACACATCAGTCACTCAAGCTTGGGGAGATAGCAGGCTGGGAAGAGGACTTTGGGGAGTTTATCAACTGCTTAGTTGCTGCCAATTTGTGAATGAGAGATTTCCATATCATCAACAGCAGGGCTCAGGTCTTGAGTAGTCAAGACTATGACTTCCTTGATTGAGTCTATCCTTCTGAAATGCAGTCTTCCTCTTTTTCTACTGCCTTCTACCATGCCAAGTATTATTTTTCTAGTGAGTCATGTCTTCTTGTAATATGTTCAAAGTACAATGGTCTCCTTTGGTCATCTTAGCGTCTAAGTAGAGTTCAGGCTTGCTCTATGAGCCATATCTTTTTAGCAATCCATGGTATCCATAAATTTTTCTCAAGCACCACATTTCAAATGAGTTGGTTGTTTTTGTTTAAACTTTCTTCACTGTCTACCTTTCACAACAAAACAAAACATAGAAATTGGAAATGCTATGGCATGACAATTCTAACTTTGGTTGTCCATTATACTTCATTGCTATACTTCATTAATATCAATTGCTGCTCTTGATGAAATAGTGACCACAGCATCCCTAAAACATGCAGGAAAATCAGTGTAACCACATGTAGAAATGTCCTTTTCATTTTCTAGAAGATTGTTCATTGATATTATTTTTCTATTATCCTGCTTAAGTATAAAACTCAGCAATATCCACGTGAATAACTCTCCATAATACCAACTTTTAATTAAAAATGTACCATAATTAGTTGAGTGGACATAAAGTAAATAAAGATGTTACTTTGTGAATGATAGATGCTTTTCTTATTGATAACAAAAATATTTTGAAAGAGCAGGCATCTTGAATCAATTTAAACTAGGCAGAAATAGAATAGGTGTTAATTTTATTTTGTAGATCTAATAATCAGTATAAAACTTATATTATATTACAATTATATGGGGGCTCAGGTTGACCTACATGATAAAAATAATTAGAAACGAAAACATTTACAGTAAGACCCTCCTAACTATAGAACTATATCTGTTGGATCACTTACCTACAACTTGCAGGGAAAAAATGCTAGGTCTTCCAGGCAAATCTAGCTGCTGTAAGTCTCTTTATGGAGAAAAAAACAGGGTATTAATAAACATAACAACAACACAATAATAATTCTGCTACCTCCCCCAGAAATGACTATAAAAATGTGTTGTAGGATCTGATTCTTAGAGAAGAGATATGGTATTTCTAGGAATTTCTAGGTCCTCTAATGCAAAACTATGGTATGTTGAGCTGGAGGTTAGGTAAACAAATGGTATTCGGTCATATCTATGATTTCAAATTACAGTATGACTGGGAACATTTCCTACATGGGGTATTACTGTACAGTATAGATAAAACATACAAAAAGTTATGTTTAAATTGCCATTACACCATCTATAGAATTTAAGCCAATTATATCCACTAAAAGTGAAAGTTAAAAGTAGTTTAGCACACCAAGAAAAGGCACTAGTATTGTAAAATAGACAATTCCCAAAGTCTATTGGAACAGAAAAAAATCCTCATCACCTCATGAGGGGAGAGCAAGCAATGATGAGAGATAGTCCTGTTTTGCTAGGATTTCCGACGTCTGAGAGCAAACCACTCTCCCTTTGAAATTTTTTGATTTATTAATGTCAAAATCAAATCAGAACAGGATTAGTACTTTCTGTATTAACAAATAACAGATGAGGACTGTTCTTATTCTCATCTGAATATGGATCCTGGAAGTATAACTTTGGAGTATTTGATCTATTCTTCATATTGAGACTGAAACAAGTCCAAGTCATTTAATGCACACTGATTAAATCACCCTGAGTTGCC